TTTTTGCAATAGTAATCCCTTACTTTACTCGTTACCTGAAAAAAGTAATCAGATTACAGTAACGCGTTACTGCCCATCTCTGAACTTGACCTGTCAGTTGAAGTTGAGGCTTGCTTACTATGACCACAATTAAGCTCTGCTTCTAGCTCAGAAACTTGTCTTCTGACTCTGTTGAGGTTTTGGTTCTAGTAGACTTTTCCCCTGTTTCTGATTGCCTTTTGAAGGTGAAGGACACTTGGCATCTTAATTTCTTTGTAGGAAAGATTTACACCTTTTCTCACCATTTTTATAGCAACACACAACTTTCTGCCCAAATCCTGAGGGTGTGGTACCACAATGTGCTCCAACACTACCTTTATGTAGACATATGCAGGTTTAAGTTATCGCCCACTACTCTGGATTATTCCCACAGTCTAAAGACATGTAATTAGTGGGATTAGGTTAACTGGTGATAGGTGGGGTAGGTTCCAGGCCCCCCACGACCTTGAATAGATAAGTGGAAGAGAATGCATGGGTGGATGGATATCACATATCGTGTCTATTAGGTAAAGATTCCTAAATGCCAGACATTAAGATAAAAGAACAAAGAGCTCATAGGGGAAATTAAAGTGCATATTCTTTTGTGCATTTTTGTGTGTGTGTATCCATTTCTGTATATTTGCTACCACCAAACATACTGACCTTTGAATGACAGCTCTGGAAGGTGACACTTGTGATGATACTGCACTGTTTTTGAGACCAGGCTGCCCGGTAGCGATTTGAGGCACAGGGATCACTGATTAGCTCTGCACTGGGGCAACTAGATGAAACTTTCCAGCTGTTACCAAATTGTAGAACATCTGCTACTATTTCCTGGGAGCGTGTGGTGAAGTCATTCTTACTGTTACCATCATAGTTTCCACACAGACCACAGACCTGACCCTAAGAGGAAAGGAAGCAGTGGTACAGATTAAAGCCCTCGTTTTAATGCTTTTTTTTAATTACAGTGATATCACAATTATTAATACGTATGAGTATCAATAATTGTGTAATTGTATTTGTATTTGTACTGACTACTAAATTTCTGTTATTGTGAAATTCTTAATATTAACTTTCTTAAGCAATTATACTTCAACAGTAAAAAGAAGTAACTGTCAATCCAGATGTGCAGAATTTATTTCTTTTACCTGGAACTGTGGACTGATTGTAATGAAAAGACTGGTCTTCTGGTCCCACATGAGAACAAGTCCAGGCTTGATTGTCACCACTATGTAAATGCCCATTTTTTGTACCTGAAGCGCCTGGATAGTGCCCTTTACCACTTGTAAATTGTCATCTTTGAGCTGGAATTCATTATCCTGTGGGTTACAGCAGCAATGAATAAAACAGGAATTTTATTTTTGTAGAATTTAAGCTACCTGGAAACCATATATGTGCAACAAACCTGAAAAGCTGAAAGCTCTTTTGTTTTTTCAAAAGATTTCAAAAAATTGAATCTTAAAACTGATTACATGGCAAAACATGGCTGAGTTTTTCAGTTAAATTATACAACCTTTAATTGATTCTGTAGTTTCTTTTTCTAGTATTAATTGTGCAATTTTAATATTGTTGGTGAAGAGTTCTTAAAACATTTTACTCTACATTCACTCTACATTTTGCAGTCATTATTTTTGAAAATGAGCACAACTGAAGGATTTTGTGTTTACCCCCAAGAAGATCTTGATGGTCTTAGAACAGGTGGTTCCTGTTGTTCCACATGGAACATTTTCAGTAATAATTCTGAAGCTTCCATTGCCATTATAGGTGCCACAGAAGTCCTGAGCAAAGCACAGTGCATGCAATTACTGGATACCAGTGTTAAAGTTAGAATCCTTAAGAGTTGCATAAAATCGATTTACTGATAAAAATGTTGATGTGCCTCTTTCTGTTCTGGTAAAATAATATACAAGAAACAGTAGCCAGAGTGAGCTTTACAATGAAGAGCTGCAGAAGAAAGATGGTACAACAGTGTGTTGCCAAATCTACCAAGGCTACAAAGTTTTCATTTTTAACTTTTAGCAACCTTACTTGTAGAAGTGTGTATTCGCACTGTCCACTGAAGTCGAACCTCTTATCGTCAAAGGTGACGTAGTGACCATCTCCATAGATTCCACAAACAGCATCACACGTCTCGTTGGTACATGTGAACTTCCTTCCACTGCAGGAACTGGGGAGAAACACATACAGCCGACAAAAACTATTAAATTGATTTCAAAATATTTGTAATATCTGTGTAATCAAGAATACAAAATACAAAAAAAAGAAAAAAAAACCCCACAAAAAAACCCGCTGGTGATTAATTAACTACCTACCTTTATGTTTTTACAAATATAATTAAAACAACTTTTTCTATTCAAACATTTGAAAAGTACAGTGTATTTGGTGAAAACACTGCCAAATTGTATCATTTAAACCCTGATTATTCCTGAATTAGTGTTATTTTACAAGATGGGGGGAAACTTCTCACTCGTATTGGCCAAACAAGTGTAAGTGCAATGACAAAATTAGCAGAGACATAACAGCAAATATAGCTGAATAGTGAAAATATAGTGACGTTTTTATTTAGTAAACAAGTTTTATAATAGAAACCCAACTCCCAAAAAGTTGGGACACCTTGCAAACGTAAATAAAATGTAAATAAAAATGATTTGCAAATCTCAGAAAGTCATACCTTTTTCACAGTAGACCATAGAAAACATGAAATGTTTGAATAAATGAAAAGGTCATTTTAAATTTGATGGCAGCAACACGTTGCACAAAAGCTTGGACAGAGTGTTGTTTACTACTGTGTATCATCCATCCCCTCTTCTTTTAAAAGCAATTTGCTAATGTCTGGGAACCAAGACCATCCCTTGGACTTTTGGAGGACGAATGTCTGATATTGAATTCTAGCAGTTCAACAATCTTGGATTTTCTTTGTCATATTTTTCATTCATGTTTTCAAGTGTAATTTCTGGAATGCACGCAGGCTAGACCCGTAGCCAGAGCCTCCTACTACAGAGCTATACTGTTGTTCCAGATGCAGTATAAGGTTTAGCATTGTTTTGCTGAATTATGCAAGGTCTTCCTGAAAAAGATGTCTTTTTGTTTTTTGTTTTTTTAAGAGATGAAGGCATTTGGACTGAGTCCTGATAACTTAGTTGCCTCTAGTGTGAAGAAGACAGTAGCCATTTTATTTTGTGGAAAACAAAAGAATTGGAAGTTTTGATTTATCAGACAACAGAACAGTTTTCCACTTTTGTAGTTTCTTATCATTCATTTTAAGCATGTTAGTGACATGTTGCCAATTAAACTACCTAATTGCAAAATGTTTCTCCAGCTGTTATTTTAGTACAACTTACTTTTTCAGTCTTGCATTGCCTTATCACGCAAACATTCATGCAGTGCTTTTTATTTATATCCAAACTCATTTAACACACCCTCAGCTGAATGCACTGGGGGCAACTCAGGGTTCAGTATCTTTGGGTTTTTTCCCAAAGATTCTTTGATTGGATTGATCTCCAGATATTTTGATTGGTAGAAAACCTGCTCTGACACGTGAGCCTTGGCAGCAGTGGCGGCTGTGTCTCAAACAAGTACTATGAGAAACAAGTCACCTATTTAACTGACGTTCTTTATTGTAGTGGAAATATGTATAAATTCTTCTTATAACCTATATACTGCTGTTGAATATTTAAATATACATCTTTGTATGCTTGTAAAGAAATGTACAAACCAGGTATTGCAATCCACTGTCAGTGTCTCTCCAGGCTGGTAGACTTGTCCATTGTGCACACATGGACAGCTGGTCTCATTGACGCAGCCTCCTGCTCCATCTGACAACAGCCCATCTGGGCATATGCAGCCTGATGTACAGCCTGTGTGGATCTGTATCCAACCAGAGTGAAAAATGAAAGGAGAGAGTAAGTCAAGCAAGACCTGTGCATTTACTGCACATTTAAGCACACAGCCAAACTGGCACAACTGTGCTGCACTTACACAAGCCATGTCAGCGGTGCTGCAGCTCTTTTGACATTCAGTGCCAGTAGCCCCAGGTTGAGCAGTGGAGCAGTCAAAGTACACCATGGGATATTCGCATTGTGGTGAACCTAATGGTAAACCTGGGAACAAAATATAACAGCTTCACATTCATAGTTTTATTGTCATTGTGAATTTATTTACAGTTCACTGAGTGAAAACTTCATAATATGAAAGAGAACTGAAGATGTTTGGCTACTAATTTTATCAAACAAATTAACGACAATAGCATTTAATCTGTGTGCGTAATGTTAATTACGGTGCCTACTTAGTAGCTGTGTTCCTCCAGAGCAGCTGAGAATGCCTTGTCTGCAGACACTGTGAGAACAATTATGAGGGAACATGAGAAATACTTTTATATGACATAATATCCTCAGTCATTCTTTAACCGTGTAGTTTCTTATTATTCTTTTTGTTATTTAAAATGTTCATGGGCAAAAAACATCCTAGTTGTACTGGTGCATTCACAACATGAATTTATAGAATGGAACAACATTTTTCCTCTAACTTGCAAGTCAATGCTTTGTAGTTGGTATATATACAGAATATGGCTTCCAGCATCCTGTGTTCCCCAGTTCAATATTCGTTTAATCCTCCTGTTTTGTTCGGAGCAAACACGTCCCTGCCATTAACACGTGTCATATTAAGTGAATACAAATCTATTAGCTGAGCTTCACTTTGTTTTTACAGCAAATGAACATTTTAGGTTGGTGATGGTAAACATAAAAATCCAAGAAAGTTGATTCTGTTCTAGCACCGCTGATTAAGAATGGTCAGTTGGTCAATTTCATGGTCATTATGATGCAAAATCTCATGACCACTGATTAATGGCCATGAGTACTATCCATAGAGAGTTGGGGACTGGAAAAAACATAAATAGCACATTTGCATTATGACTAAAAGTAGCAAACATTGCTAAACCTGCAGTCAGCTGAGACTGAAGAAGTTACTCGGATGAGTGACAAAATATTTCTTCCACTGAAAACATGTCCAGAAGAACAGAATCAACCTTTGAAAATTTCCTTACCTGAATGATTCAGCATGAATTAAGAAAAATTAGTCGGCGTTATTTACCATGTGCTGCCATCTTTACTGATAGTCTGTCCAGGAGGAACAATAATGCCTTCAGCATAGCAGGGACAGCTTTCACGGGCTACACACTGGCCTTCCTCATTCATGTAAGTTCCTTCAGAACAGCCACAGCCATCCACTGTGGTGAAGTTGACCTGACAAGAGTAGTCAGTCTGGCCGAGGGAACGGCAGGTACGCCCACAGCTGGTCATGTTGTAGTTATACACAGTTTCTGCTGCACATGATGTGCTGAATGTCTCTGTTATGAGAGATATGAGATGTTTATACAATGAGCCAACAGTTCAGTTCAATTTAATTCAATTCAAATGTTGCAAAAATGAATCAAACACAGATGATTTATTAAGATTTGTTGTATTCAAATGACCTGCTACTTCTGCCATTATTTAAAATAGATACCAAAATATGTGCCATAGCTGTGGTACTGGAGACAGGAACTGTCTGGTGGGTTAACACCATAACACAGACATGGTGTCAGCAGCTGACCCATGCTGACAATGTGATGGTAATAATAACATTTATATTAACCCAAATAATTTAGAGTTTCCTCAAATTGTGACTGCTGCTGCTGACTTTAATTTACAGGGGTTCTGGCACATTTAATTGTCATGTTCATCGAGGTACAATATTCCTGTGAGTTTAGCACTAACGTTGTTGATTTAGCACAGATTATTCGATTATTTCACATACAAGTGTACTCCAATTGCAGTATGAATGCTGAAAACTGAATTGTTTGAGTTGAATTGTTGTAACTGCTCAATCTTTGCTGAAATCGTTGAAGCTGGCAGGCTGACCGTTTTTAGATGAGCTGAAAGCTGAAGAATATATCCAAATAAGCTGACAAATAATGAATGTTTATCTGAAATTGATGCGAAAACTGATACATTGCATTATTACATTTAAGAAGTGAATTTAAAAAAACTGTAGATGACTTAATGATTAGACTCAAGGATCTTAAATGAAAGGCCAGCATATTTTCACATGTTTGAGGGTTTTTATTTTTTTTAAAAAGCTCTTTATTTGATGTGCTTGAAATGATATTTAAACAAAAATTTAAAGACAAGGACTGATTAAAGTAAGTTTTAAAAAATTTCTAATGATCCATTCAATGAAGAGCTCATTCAAATTTCATGAAATTCGAATCCACAAATGAAAAATAGACCTAAAGTGTAATCAACAAATCAGAATGACCTATTATTCTCATACATTGATTGCTGGTATAGAATCAGTCTGTGGGAAATTGCTGTTACATTTCCCTTTTTGAACCTGTCGATAAACTGCTTCCAAATACAAAACCAGAACTCATATCATAATACTTTTTTAAAAATAAGGACCAAGGATTTCTTCGACATGACAGTGGGTCTCTCCGCATTTAATCATTAGTAATCATCAATCTCTGCTGGTCTACCACAGCATGTCTTTTGTCCGGTCTTCCTCCCCTCACCTCAGCCAGTCACGGCGGATGGCTCTGCCTCCCTGAGCCTGGTTCTGTTGGAGGTTTCTTCCTATTAAAAGGGAGTTTTTCCCTCCCACTGCCGCCAAAGCATTTGCCCACAGGGGGTCGTATGATTGTTATTTTGTCCTCTGTTGTATTATTGTAGGATTTTCATTTCCAATCCGGTCTACCTTACAATAAAAAGCACCTTGAGGTGACTCTTGTTGTGATTTGGCACTTACAATATAAAACTGAATTGAATTAAATTGAATTAAAAATTGGGTTGTGGGGCCAATCTAAAAACAAAAGGGTTCAGTCCTGTTGTCGAGAAAACCCCCTCACTAAAAACACAATGTGCTTCAGCGAGCATTGGCACATCATGTCAAGAAGAAGAAGACAAATGGTCCTATGTTTTGAATGTAAAATCATGCCTGTGGACACAGCAGCAGTTGAAAGAGAACATGTTCAGATAAATTTGTTGTTTGAACCCGTGTTTCTCTTTTCAAGGATGCTTAGTGTTTTACTTACCACAGATGGTTTTCCTCCAGCCACTGATGTGGACTCCTGCTGCTGAGCAGGCATAGACATATGAGGAAACTGCAGCACACATGCAGTCCTCACTTTTTTCACAGTTACAGGTGTCATACATACAGTTCTGTCAAAAGAGTATTCGTGAAACGATTAACAAGAGTTCAGCTGCAAAGTTCTCATTAAAACTTTGCATGTACAGACCTACATCTTTATATGTGCTGGGGCTAACGACAGCGTGGCAGGGAGCAAACACTCCCTCGGGATCAGTTAATTTGGAGCACCAGAAATCAGCATATTTCTCTAAAACACAGAAACATTCAGAATTAAACTTGTTATATATCATCTGTTGTTCAATAAAATCTTGAAAAACAGCAAGGAAGTATGGTATTTTTCATATAACATGATAACTTTTATAAGATAAAACATAATAATACAGGAGTTTTATCTGTACCTGTGAGGATGTTGTTGTTACAAGGGTCTCCAAAATGTGATATAATGTCTGGGCAGCTGGCTCTGGTTTTCCATGCATTTGCAAATGCAGCAGCAGTGCCTTCCACCAGCCCACTTGTCACTCTAAAGTCGTCACTCATGATGTCGTTGAAGTTTCCACATAAACCTTTCAAATAAGAAGTTCCACAGTTACACAGATTCCAGACGTTCCAGACACTAACAATAATGTGGAGACATACCAGAGGTGGTTCCTGTGAGGGACCTGTCAGCTGAAATGAACACCTGCATTATGGGAGACAGCTGAATCATCAGTTGTATGCCCACCGTGGTGCTTACAAGGATGTAGAAGGAAGATGGCTTAAAGACTCTCAGATCAGCTGTAGAGGTCAGAAGACATGAAAAATGTAGCAATTAATTCAAACACAAACATACAAACGTCAGTGACGCAGATAAATAAATACAACTAATGAGTGTGGTGCTTTTGTTCCAATTCTTTATTACATATTTTGTAGTGAGTTGAACAAAATTCTTTTGCAAATACTAATTTTGCTGGCTTGTGTAAATTGAAAGTCAGTTCAAGCACGTTCAATTTACCTGTGATAAATTGTCAAGTAAGACAAATTGAATGTCACATAAAACAAAATCAAACAAAGAATGCATTAAATGATTATATAAGTACTTGGATTTCTAATAAACCTATAGTGAGGGTGCGTTGGGACTGCCTGACAGAAGGCTCTGTCTGTGAGGTGGCAGCTTTCCAAGGTAGGCTGAGAACAGTGAGCCTGAATCAACAATGTTCAGCATCTCCATTGTTGAGGCTGCTGCAAAAAGTTGCGGCTGCGAGGTGGTGCCTGTCATGGTGGTAATCCTTTAGCCAGACTGTAGACACCTGAGCAAAGGGAGCTTTCAAGCTGAAGGTGTCCACAGGTTAGCCTGTGGGGACTTTGGAGGAAGCAGAGAGAAGCGGGCTGCCGGTCTTTCGTGGTGAAGAGAGAGCTTAGTGTGAAAGCAAAGCTGCCGATTTACTGGTTGATCTATGTCCCTACCCTCACCCGTAGTCACCAGCTTTGGGTAGTGAACAAAAGAATGTGACTGCAGATAGAATTTGCTTTCTCCAAAGAGTGGCTGGGCTCCCTACTGGCAGGAGGCTGATGGGGTAGGCACACTGGAGAGATTACATTTGTCTGCTGGCCCAGAAACACCTTGGCGTTCCTTTAGATAGGTTGGAGAAGGGGGATAGGGAGAAGGAGGCCTAGGTTTCTCTGCTTAGGCTGGAAAACACTCAACCCAGGGTCAGAAGAAGGCAGGAGGCAGAAGAAAACGGATGGAGGAATGGGTGTTTTTTTAAAAACATTTATTACTGAGGAAAATATGCATACATTGACTATGATCATTATATTAAGAAGATGTGTTTACTATATGTGGACAGTGAAATGTGAGATAACTTACCTGTAAACAGTGGAAGCTGAGAATTAATCTGGTTCACATAGACCTGCCCAGATGCCTGAACTTTAACAACCTGTCATTTTGCAGAAAGACACATTTTAGACACACCAGGATTTGCAAATTCTTATTGGTGAGAAAAAGCACAAAATTTTGTGAGATCTGGATTTTTTTTCAGACACAAGGAGTAATGATGGTGTTTTTATGCCTGCAGCTTACCACAGAATTGCTGCCTAAGGCCAAAGTTACAGTTCTGAGGCAAGTCTTTGTGTCACTTAGCCCGCACTTGACCAGATCCACCAGCACAGTGTAGGACAAACCATTACTGTCCTGCAGCGCACATCAAAACAAAACATGTAATCAGTCACCAAAAAAAAACCATTACACTACACATGTATGTACTCAAATCATATTATTATATTAGCATATTATTTTCTGATGGTGCATCCGGTTTAAGATGCTGCTGTTATGTGTATGTGGAGAAGGACTAGCAGTGAGTATCACCTTAGCTAGAACATAGGAGCAATCGCCATGAAATGTGTAGACTTTTCCATCAAAGGTGTTAACATGAGCCCCTCCTTTGACAGAACAGATTCCTGGACAGTTTGTCTCTGTACAACTCCACTGACCGCTTTCACATACACTGTCAAGACACACACACATTTCATTTATGTATTAAAAATTATTAATATGGTCAAATATTCATATAACTGCTTTAGTAACACACTGCATTACATTTTCTACTATGTCTTAAAATAAACTCACTAATGTTTGTAAAAGTTTAAAAAGGTAAAACTGTCACATAAATGTACAAACTGTAAATGTGAGGAGACTGCTAAAACATTCTTACTTGCAGTACCTCCGACGTACACAATAATTTTGTGGGAGATTGTAATTGTGTAACTTAGAAATGACTTTAACACTTAATCATCCTATCAAAGGTACTCTTAGATTCATGTCTTTACCATTTCTAGTATCACATACACAATAAAAATGTTTTATTTCCATTTTTTTAACACTGCAACAAAGTGGCACAAATTCATTTTACCAGGATCCACAGTGGTGCGAGTAGGACTCTCCTGGCATGTAGATTTCGTTGTTGTGCAGACATGGACACTGAGAGACTGCGATACATCCGCTGTTACCAATGTCATCAAAGACCATCCCTGAGAAAGAGACGCAAAAAATATATATTTATATATATATATCCATAGGTCCCTCATCCTATTCACGTAACCCCTTCCACCGGGGTTACTTGCGTAGTAGCATTCCAACAACGCCCTGTTTTCGTCTCTTGCCCACCGATGCCTTCTTGTTCCAGTAGCTCACTTTTCGTCAGGGTGCCCTGGTTCCTCAACACCTGACGCGGACCTTGTTGATCCGGGCGACGTCCGAGCTGGCTTTCCTTCATATTTATCTATTTAAAACAGGCCTGGCCCGGATCCGGCATCAAGCTGGCACTTCTGACTGAGTGGTGTCATGGCAGGGTGTATGTCAACCAGATGTGGGCCAGGTCTGGCAATGATGCACTAATGTTTCTGTTTTCCTATTTTAGTTAGAAGACCCAAATGCCATGTTGCAATACTATACTGCTATGGTAGCCAACGTTTCAAATGCAGGTTTGACAGTTTTGTGAGTGTACACTTTATCCAAAACCTAGTGAGGGTTTACTCATCTACACATGGGCCAGCAAAGGGCCACCAGTGTGTCTGCAACTGGCCATGTGCTGGCCCATGTGTAGGCCACCTCTGGCAAACCAGATCTGGGCCCCCAAAGGGCCGTCATTCTTTGTGGTATGTAGGTCAAGTGTAAGCAAATTGTGTGGGCCAGGTCGGGACCATACCAATTTTGCTATTTGGGAAAGGTCTCAAATATCACTACATGTAGAGGGGGGTTGTTTTTTTTCTACTGTTGTCATCCCTTTCTCTCTTCTGGTCCACTTGTCAACCAATCAACATTTGGCAGAATGCAAAGTAGTGTGTGGTCGAAACTCTCTCCCCTCTCTGTCCTACTGAAATCGTCACAATTGTGGGACCATAAAACAATCTTTATCTGTTGGATATGTGTGGTACATTGTATTTCAAGTTCCCAGTCAGAATATTTATCTGGAATGCCACCTCAACTCAGAAAATCCAAAAACTCAAAACAAAAAAATAAAAAATAAAAAAATTGGAGCAACCCTACCAACCCTAAGTTAAAAATCAAAGATGGTGGCAGTGAACATAAACAGTGGTGAAACTTTTAATCTGTACTGCCACTGCTATCTAATTGTGACTTGCTAAATAATCCATACACAGAGTGCTGATCAGGTTCTCTCATAAATGTGATACTATGGTGTTTTTAAGCACAAAAGAGGTATTATGCTATATTGCTAGTGATGCATGAATGGCTCAATCCAAGAAGCAAAACAAATCCTGCTTTTTTTATCTTCTGACTTCATTAAAGGGATGTGCTGACTCAGGAGCGACGTGGCTCCCGAGTTCCGACATCTGAGATCCGAATTATGCAGTTTTAGTTTTGTGTGAACAACTTGGCCGCGATTGCCCAGAATACTTTGCAATTGTTTTCTCTCTGAGAGACAGAAAGCAAGAGATGGAGTGCAAAAGGAGTGTGGATATACCAGCAGGGCAGCTGCAGCCATCATGACAATGGCTGTCACATGTCTGGCTGGCCTGAGGGGTGGAACAGCTGTCAGGACATGAACTGCTACATTCCAAGAACACCATGTTGTATGGACATTTCTTGTCTGTGGACAAAAGTTTTTCAATATCAATTAAAGAATTTTGCAAAGTATAAGGAAAAAACACTGCCTATGATGGAGACCCAGAACTGTAAATGTTGCACCCTTACAGCAAAATGTATCGTTCCTCCATTCTTGGGGTTTGCCACCTGCATGGATGCACTGTCTGGAGAACTCTGAAAGTGTTTTGCAGAGGACAAAAGTAGTGTTGTCTGTAGAGTTGCACGTGTCCACCATACAGGCTTTACTAAAGGATTCCACGTCAAGAATGTTTTGGCAATCAACAAAGGGATCACTGGAGAAAGTCTGGTCACAGAATTGCTGAAAAAGAAGTCAGTCAGTTAAAAAAATACATACTGCCAATCATTTTTAGAAGCCTACAGTTTGAACCCTCAAGGTAGCAAGGTAACATCTGTTTGAGTTTACAATAACAGTGCGTTGAAAAAGTGTTCATACCCCTTGAACTTTTTCACATTTTTGTCACCTTACAACCACAAACATGTCACAGTTTTCAGATTTTTATTTGCTTAAAATTTTGAAAACCGTGCATCATTTCCATACCACTGCACAATTATGAGATTCTCTGTATTGGTCTATCACAGAAAATCTTAATGAAAACATTTTGGTTTGTGGTTGTAAGGTGACAACATTTCCAAGAGTTTAAGGGGTATGAGTACTATAATACTATATATATATATATATACTATATACTGTAATACTATTAATATTGCACTGCAGCTGCCTCAGACGTGCGGAGTATAGTAGTAAGAGTGTGTTTATTTAACCCTAACCCAGCAGACCTTCTCCCACAGACTAATTCAACCCATGAAATAATTTTTACAATCCTTCATAAACCTGTATAATAACTCTTCATTCTGTGCCAGGTAACAACATCTGTCAGGCATATGATAACACACAAATGTCTTTAATGCAGCTATTGTTCTTAGATTTATACTGTGTTATAATGCATTTATATTATTGATTTGCACTGATTTGCACTGCTCTCTTAAATAGTCTCTGTCTTACTGCTACTGTTTTGCTTTTACATTTTTACTTTTCTTTGTATTTTTAATCACAGGTGTATATATAACATGTTGCAATGTTTCACAGTGGCACTTTAACCTTGATGTTTATTTGTTGTTTTCTGTAGACTGTATAAATAGTATAACTACTTGTCATCACAGTAACAGTTTTAGTGAAGATAGCATTAGTTAAACTACAAGAATGTCTTTAAGATATAAAGAACTTAATGACCTCTAATTTCCTGCTTCTCAATTCAGATAGAAACTAGTTCACGCACAGTGCAGTAAGAGTACTGACAGGGTAAAGAATCAGATAACATATTTCTCCAATACCAGCTTATCTTCATTGGCTCCCTGTTAAATCCAGAGTCAAAGTTAAAATTGAATCTTCCCTTTGCTATCCTGCATTGGGCCTAGGCTGCTGGTGGCTTTCCATGATACACTGTTTCCGCACTCACCTCTTTTACCCATTATGTTTTTATAATAATAATGGATTTATATAGCGCTTTTCGGGGCCCTCAAAGCGCTTTACAATGCCACTATTCATTCACTCTCACATTCACACACTGGTGGAGGCAGCTACAGTTGTAGCCACAGCTGCCCTGGGGCAGACTGACAGAGGCGAGGCTGCCATATCGTGCCATCGGCCCCTCTGGTCAACACCAGTAGGCGGTAGGTGAAGGTGTGTTGCCCAAGGACACAACGACCAGGACAGAGAGCCCAGGGATTGAGCCGCCGACCTTCCGGTTACAGATGCGCTACCCAACCCCCTGAGCCCTCTTACACAGTCTGTCTTTATGTCGTCTTCTGCCCCTCACCCCCGAGGTGAGGCCGGATGATTGACCCTGCTAATGGTTTCTTCCTGTTAAAAAGGGAGCTTTTTCTTCTCACTGTCACCAAGTACTTGCTCTCAGGCAGTCATCTGATTATTGGAGTTTCTCCATATTACTGTAGGCTCTTAAACTTACAATATAAAGCACCTATTGATTTTGTATAATTAAAACTGAATTTAATTTAACAGTGTTGAAAATGAGAAATAGTGAAGACTCACCTTATCACCACAGCTCGGGACTGGGTTGATGTCAGTCTCCTCACAGTACTCTGTGGGGCCATTTATCTTCCAGGTCTCAGCATAGTCCACCACAGACACTGGGGTTCCTGCACAGTCACAATAAAATGATCATGAAGCTTATTGGGGGGCTTCTTCATTACGTATTCTATTTCATAATGAACCAAAAAGGTCACAGGTCTGCATCTAGACTTTCAGTACAGAACTATGCTATTTAAAAATGGGGAAAATTATGCTAATTGAATGACAGTATATGTTGCTCCAAATCTAATAAATATAATTCAGTATTATAGGGGCCCTCGTAGATGTGTAAGCTAAGACGTTTCCAATGTGCACTAACCCCCATGTAGATTTTTTCAAAAAGAAATTCACTTTTTTTTTCATCAAACCGAAGCATTTCAGGATCCTTTAAAATTGCATTTATGGATGCAGCAACTAATGGTGGTCAATGACAAATGGTTTTGAAAACCCATGCAATCATTTCTGCTACACAATTATGCCTATTTTCAGTGTGCACGCTTTTGAAAAGGGGCTGAAGATCGCAACTATTCAATATTGTTGACTGTGATTTGTGCACAGAGAATTGTTGAACTATTTGCCTTTGTAGTCTTTCATAGAGTGGAGCTCCTCCCTGTCTTTACTTCTGAATGACTGTGAACTTTTTTGAAAAGTTGCTGCTAACATTAAAAGAAACCAGTGGTGTTCTCTCAGGACAAGCAAGGTGAACAGTGACTGACTTGTCAAATCTAGAGATCATTAAAAGGGACAAAAAAAGGCTATTTCTCTCCTCTCTCTCAGCTTATTCCATGCTCACAAAGTGTAATGTCTCTGCCTTATGAGCATGTCCATCTTGCTTAAGGATACTTGATCTCCACAACTTGAGAGTGGGGCAACGTTTTCCCCCCTTGTGTTTTCTCACATCCACATTGTGGATAGACAGTAACATTTTAGAACATTTTAGAACATTTTAGAACACGGTCTGCGAATAAGGCTTAAGTACCCTGTAATTACATGCAATTTGCAGGCAACAAGCCATTCTTTCTGCAGGAAACAATGACACAATTATAGACTGTAAGACCTGCGACTAAAGTGCGGGTAACCTGTAGGAAATGTGTTAATCAATACTTAATACTTATTTTATTAGTCTTTCTTTAGTCACCTAAATACAATAAAAAATATACAAAAATTGGCATTCATGTGTATTTACAGTTTTTGTATTTATAAGAACAGTTTATTCAAACAACACCTTAAAATAAATGCATAAAAAGCATAAAAATAAATGCTCCACCTAGTTTATTTACTTTATTTCAAAAAGGTTATGTGTTCATTTTTAGGTGTGTAGAAATGACAACCATGTCATTTATATATATTTTTATGTAATACTAGTGTAATTTCCCGATGCAACACAGTATTTTATTTTATTTCATATAGTATGTTATTTTATTTTATTTTATTTTATTCCATGCTATTGTTTTTCTTATTTTTTGCTGTAACTTTGTACTGTCCCCTTTCTGCCATGACCAAACAAAAAGTGTGGGACTAATAAAGGTTTATCTTATCTTATCCTATATGTCACCCTAATCATTCTTTCCAAAAAAAAGATTTTCTTGTTTTATTTTATTTTCTTGTTTGGTTTTCTCTCAAAATGGTTTTCCTCCTGATTATTTCATTGTAGGATCTGGAAGGACCGTGAAGCGGAACAGCGGCGTTATCAGTAGGTGTGGTTTTCCTAGCTAATGGTCTGCAATGTTTTTCCCCTGTTTGTAAAATGCTAAAACTTTATGTACATGTCTTTGCTTTGTTTAAAAAATGATAATAATTGGACCTTAACTATACTCAGACATTTCAACGCAGCTTTAAAAAGACTGAATGTGTTTATTTTGTCTTTCTTCTTTTAGAGACTGCCCTTGATCACTTAATGCACAGGTACAAATGTATTGTGAAAAGACACCAGAAGCTGGGAAACTGTTCAAGAGACACTTAAGTATGACAGTGTGAACAGGACAACCCTGTCACATATCACTGTTGAGGTACAGTGTGTGCAATGCATTAAAATATATATATATTTAGGGAGTTATTGCACTATCTGTCTTGCTGTCTTGTAAAATATTATACACAAAAGCCATGTCCACACTTTTTCATTTTTAACAGTCTGAGGTCATTTTTAGACATTTGTTCACAAAGTAAAAGACATTTTCCAAACTGAAAAGAAAAAAAAACTTGCAAATATCATGTGTTTCAGGGTGTAAGTATTGTTTTGTCTGCTAATGTATTTCTAAAGCTAATATTTTAAGGGTTAAGGAATAGTTTCATGTCCTTGTTTTTAATTATAGTTTAATGAAAACAACTCACATTGTTTCCATCATTATAGGCACAGATGAGCCTATGCTATGACTGTAAATATCAATGTATGATTTCAAATAAGAAATGAAGAAAAGTGTTTATCTATGTATCATTTTATATGTAATGTATAAAGAGAGCTGAATAATGAAACATCCATTAGGCACAAAATTAGTTATGTAATCAGTACTTACTGAGTAAGTAATACTTACTCAGTATTTACTTAGCAGGATTCTTAAAATTACTTACAGTGCAATTTACACCTCTTTCCCTGTAAAATACCTAGAAGTTAGACGAGATTAAGCGACTCCACAATACACCCCGCTCCCCAGAAAGTACAGGGTACGGTGTAATTGTAAAAAAAAAAAATCTGCAAAACCCTGTTTGTTGCCTGCAAACTGCACGTAATTACAGGGTACATGCACGTTATTTGCAGTTTGTGTTATAATAACTACAGACTACATTAGACTACCTCCTGAAATATTACAATTATCTTACCATCATTCAGGAATTCATTGGATATGCCATCAAAGTTTCCACACAGTCCACATGTCTGAGTCCGATATTTCTCATCTATTTCAATCTGTGAAGATAATCAATTACACAATAGGTAACTGGCAAAATCACAAGACAGGACAATATTAATTGAACTCCAATATATGGCATTCTTTCCTTGTAATCCATTAAAAGGTTAAAGTAGGACATTCACATGACAATTTGTCTGCATTCTGAGATCATCTGAATAGCAGGATTGAAAACCAGAACAAACAGCTTGTAGCACTAAGGGGTCATATATAGATAAGAATCGGAAGGAGCATATTTGGAGGCGACGTCCCTCTCCTCAAATCCTGATAATTTATCTCCAATAAACAGCCAGTCAGATAATTTATTTTTGTATGTGAGAGAAGGCTTCATACATCAAGGGAGTCGTCCAGGTTCCAGATTGCCTTTATTCCCAGATTAGCTTCAACAGAGATACTAGATGCGGTCCCCTTGACAGTCACGCCTGATTTACTGAATGGAAGAGATTCCCTGGTGCAAACAAAGAGTGATATTTTAAAAATGAGTGTAAAAATTAAAACAAATTCACATTACTCTTGTACTGCTGCTCTTTAGTTATACAAATCAGTCATTAACAGACCAGACAGACCCCTAACCCCACTGCCACAGAATATTACGAGGGCTTTGTTTGAGCATTTGAAAGGACAAGATAGTGTCCTATGGAGGGATATTGTAGATTTGCAGGTTGCAGCGGTTGCTTACATTTAGGTTGAGTGCTGCTGTCATTAAAGCAGAATAAATCTCATATTAAGATGGTACAATGCTGAAAATGTAAACAGATACAATTGGACCTACGTTTGATATTGGATTCTGACTCCTGCACCCCCCTGAATATATAGTAGTTAAAGTTACTGAAATATTCTTGGAAAAATGTCAGTACAGTTGATAGGTCTTTCCCGAACTTACATCTTGCCATTGACAAGCACTGAGTTGTTAGAGAGCTCCACCTCAGATCCTTCCAGCATCATGATGATTTTGCTGATTGTGGGGATGTTGTTGACTAAGCGCCGCCGCATCTGGATATTAAAGCTTTCATAGCTGCCCTTGCATTGTATTGCAAGGACATGGTTACAACTCGAATTCAGCTGGAAGAAATCTCCATCAAAGGTTTTGAAGTGATAGTATCCCCAAGTTGTGCACACTCGGCCAATGTGGGATGCATTAGCTATAAAATTAATAAATTAATAAATTACAAATTCTTTTTGAGAAATCGTTTTAAATTTACATGAAGACCTGAAGAAAAAATAACCATATTGGACATTTGCAAACTTACCTGAAGTCATGGTCAGTGTGTTTGTAGAAGGAGCAGTGGTCACTGTAGTGAAGACAAAAAAAAGGTATTTATTAATTTAGATGTAGGAAATTAGAAATTATCAACTGACAATTCACTGATATGAAACTCAAATACTCAAACTGAAGATTGCCAAGACAGTTAACTGTTGCAGATATCCCAGAACCGTATGTACTCTTTAACACCAGAAATGGCTTCAGTAGATTTAACCAAGACTGTCTGCAGCAAACTGCATTACAGTTTCTAATTAATATGCCTTAATTAGCTGAAGTGTTGAAGCTATGAAATAAATTCTATATAAACCAACCCAAGCATGATATAATGTATCTAAATTTACATCATCAGTTGGGATTCACATGAATGATCAAAGTAAATATGACTCTCTGTCCTCTTCCCAATATCTTATAGCACATCCATTGAGTGTGAAATTCTAATATTTCCAGCACATCATTTACCATTCTGAGTAAGTGAGTCGACTATCAGCGTCAAATAGATGAGCCATGATATCAATTCAAGCCCTTTGGCCCCCATGTTGGTCAGGAGGACTAACACTACAGACGATAGGATTCACCTGGGGAACAAGCTCCTTTATAATGCGCCTCTGAAGGTGGAGCCACGTTGCATCATATTTCATATTGAAGCAAATCATCAAGTATGTTTACTCAGCAAACATCATCCCCACCACCATACCGAGCAGCTTCTTCACTCTATATACTTCCAACTAACTATATAAAAACAGGAGGTTCTGATGGTTACAGTCCTGGCATTGCTTGACTCTCAGTGCACTAAGACATGAACAAGCCAGAGAACAGAGGGGAAACCGAATTGGTCTAACGGTTTAAATAGTTTATCTGTGCTATTTGGTTAACAACTAAAATAATTATCTGGTATTGAAAAAGTCAGTCCTGACATGAAACAAGTTAAACTAAGCTTAACAACACCTGGAATACAATACTGATCTACGCTTTGCTCCTGACATTAACCCAATCACCCAAACATCTAACACAGAATATACATTGTAAACTGCATAATGCAAATGCACCGTTTTAGAAGTAGTAGCATTCTCGCTAATACAACTGTTTTTGGAACATCTGTAGATATGAATTTAATTACTGGTGCCACACATTTTGGCATCATATACAGCTCGGTCCATATCTTTCGAAAATGACTCATTTTAGTCATTTTTGTCTCTGGACACCACCGAGAATTTGAATCAGACAATAAAGCTACGACTAAAGTACAGACCTTAAATCAAGTGAAGGTTGTTCGAGAATTATTTGGACAGATAAAATCAAGGGTAGGAAGAGAAAACTATGGAAAAGAAAAAGCACAGCTTATAATCTTAAATATACCACATCAGTTTTCAAAACATAGTGAAGGTAAAATTAAGGCACAGACATGTGGAACTGCATCATTGGTCTCTATTGATGATTTGAGTGCTGTTAGAAGCAGGAGGGTGAAATCTCCGCTCAGATTCAGCCAAATGCTCCAAGACCGATTGAGCAGTGCTTCATAGTGCAAAACATGTTCCCAACATATATTCCAAAAGTAACCCAAAAGTTCTTAAAGCAAATAAATAGGATATGCTTCAACAGAAAATGCAGAGATGAGTTCTTTATGGTACTTTCTGCACTAGTGTGTGCAAGTAAACATTTAGCTCAGCTAACAGTGGAAGATAAAGGTAAGTCCTTCGCTAGTAATGAAAGCTAGAAGACTGCACCACATTTTGCTTTATGACAAATCGGTACACAGTTTTGTCATGGATATACAACATGTCAACTGACCCCTGGACAGCTGGTTGTCCACATACGTCTGATTCATGGAATCATCCTATATAGAGGTCCATCTGTCTCAAACAGGTTATAAAACAACAGTACACAGATCAAAAATAGGGTTTTCTTTCAAGAAAACACTTAACAGTCAAATGTAATGGTTGCTGTTTTTATAGTCAAAATGTTATTTTTCAAATGTTTACAGTGTTGAGGGCAGCAGTTGCCAATTTAAATTTAGATCAGTGATGCTGTTCACTTTTTACTGGCTAGGGCTTGGAAGGCTGTTCTGATGGCTCATGTAACATCTGCTTAGATGATGTTCATGTCAATTGGTTAAATCCACAGATAGCAGTGAACCTCATAACAGCAGTAGCATCAGTCACCTGATCACATGCTGAAAGAAAATCTGCAGCAGTAGTAGTAATACATTGTAAGAAGGGTGGGAATCTCAGGTGGAGGAATATCTGGTGTAGAGCTGCAGCATAGGTCACTTTGAAATAAGCCAAAATTTATTAATTTTATATTTTTGCTGTCAACCTCATTAAATAATGTTTTAATGACACTGGAAGTTTTAATAGCCTATTAAGCCTGCTGAATTTTACCAGGGAATTTTAAATAAACTTTATCACCCACATGTTTCTGAATAACAACTTTTTATGGTAGTAAATAATAGCAAACCTAACTATGTTGCACTTTCAGTGATTTTTTATCAGTGGGTTTTTCAGTTTGCAAGATACTGCAATATCTAGCGGTCCACACCCCTCCCTTAGAAAAAAGGTAAAAACAATATGGCACATTGTTCAGGTGCAAACATGACGAGTGTTGCTTTAAGGAGGAGAAGGATTTTGGACTTAATGTGGGAACCCTGTGTAAATAAGTGACAGTGACTCAGCTAACCCCGTCCAGGATATGCATCCTGTGGTCTATTTTTAATAAACTCACTTTCTTTTCTAACTAGAGTGTGTAGGTTGTGTCACTAGAGATGGTATTATTAAAAGTTCACATGCCATTAATTAACTCACAGAAAAAAACATGTTGTTGCATTCAGAGAATTCCTGAGCATCTATCCTTTTTTATTGTAATTTCAGCTGTTTATTTAGACTTTTTCTTGATAAATTTGACAGTCATTGTGATCATCTTTAAGATCCTTTTACTTCTTCTTCATATAAGGTCAGCCAGACATGAGTATACTGAAGCTCTTCTTTTAATTGTTTCTGTCATTGTTTATTTATTTTTGTTAATCTAGATGAAGTGAATAAAGTCATTTTGTGTTGGCTCCCTCTGTTGTAGAGTATTACTTCCTGTTCCTGTTACAACACACATTGGTGTTTTTGTGTTGTTTGTCTGTGTTGACAATTTAATTACTGTTCGGACTAAAAACTCCCTGAAAAGCCTTCAGCTGATCCAAAATGCTGCAGCAAGAGTCCTGACAGGGACAAAAAAGAGAGAGCAAATTTCTCCTGTTTGGCTTCCTGTTAAATCCAGAATTAAAATCCTGCTCCTCACATACAAGGTCTTAAATAATCAGGCCCCATCTTATCTTAATGACCTTGTAGTACCATATCACCCTATTAGAGCGCTTCGCTCTCGCTCTGCAGGCCTACTTGTTGTTCCTAGAGTATTTAAAAGTAGAATGGGAGGCAGAGCCTTCAGTTTTCAGGCCCCTCTTCTGTGGAACCAGCTTCCAGTTTGGATTCAGGAGACAGACACTATCTCTACTTTCAAGATTAGGCTTCAAACTTTCCTTTTTGCTAAAGCATATAGTTAGGGCTGGACCAGGTGACCCTGAATCCTCCCTTAGTTATGCTGCATTAGGTGTACTCTCTGGGGGATTCCCATGATGCATTGATGCATCTCCTTCTGTCACTCACTATATGCTAATAGACCTCTCTGCATTTAATCATTACTTGTTATAAATGGTAAATGGCCTGCATTTGTATAGCGCTTTTCTAGTCCATAGGACCCCAAAGCGCTTCACACTACATTCAGTCATCCACACACTGGTGATGGCAGCTACGTTGTAGCCACAGCTGCCCTGGGGCGCACTGACAGAGGCGAGGCTGCCGGACACTGGCGCCACCGGGCCCTCTGACCACCACCAGTAGGCAAACATAGTATCTTGCCCAAGGATATTTGGCCGGGAGGCAGCCTGGGATTGAACCACCGACCTTCTGATTAGTGGCCGACCTGCTCTGCCACCTGAGCTACAGCCACCCATATCTGTCTCTCTTCCACAGTATGTCTTATGTTCTGTCTTCCTACCCTCATCCCAACTGGTAGCAGCAGATGGGCCTGGTTCTGCTCGAGGTTTCTTTTATTGTGATCTCTGTTACAGTGTTACTGTTTTTTAAGAGACATGTTTTCATTGTGCTGCATGAAAGACGTTGAGTGTGTCTTGAGGGGGTTAGTCGCCAGAGCTGGAGAGTGAGTTATTCAGGAGAACTCTCCACATCATTAACTGCCCTGTGACTGTCCCATCTTAATAAACTATGGTTAAGGCAAATCGTCTTGTGCTTAAGAGTCTACGTGTAAGTTACAGAATATATATTCAGTGCAGGTAGATATATAGTGTGTGTAGTTATATAGGTATACATGTCATCCAAAAATCCACAACATTCCCTCCTGTGATACCTAGAGGTACCACATCAAAAACCCCATGAACACTAATCCACACAACACACACATAATACAAAGATGGATTATATGGCACCATATGTGAAAATGAAAATAATATTATTAAACAATTAATTCCCCGTGTTGGACTTCAACTTGGTCAGCAAGCAAGCAATTTATTTATATAGCACTTCCAGAACAGTTCTGTACACTTGACATGCCAGAAATGATAAATTGAATAAGTTTAAGAAAATAAAGATGAAAAAAGATCATAATTAAAATGACATTTAAAATAATAAAATTAGCACAAATAGCAAAAACATAAAATAGTATAAAATGATAATTAGAATTACATATAACACAATAAAATCAGCACATTAGATTAAAACAATAACATCAGGGTCATACTGTGTCATATGTCAAGGAGTAAAAATGGGTTTTAAGTCGTGTTTTAGAATTTTAAAACTGAACTCTAGAATATACAGGCAACCAGTGGATTGAAGCAAGGATGGGAGTTATGTGTTCTCTTTTATGGGTTCTGGTTAAAAGTCGTGCAGCAGCACTTTGGACTCCAACATATAGTGTGTTACAGTAATCCAAACGAGATGAAATAAAAGCATGGATTACTATTTCAAAATGCGGCCTAAAAACTGGACTTGACAGTAGCCCTAATATGACTGTCCAATTAAAATCAGTGTCCGTCTTGGTCAGGTGCAGCTTCTTTTTCTAAACACATTTCTTAGTGTGGGCTATGAAATGTCACTTCAATGTTGACAGTTTCTGCAGTCAGCTTCAAGCTTTACTCAGCTTGTTTCCCCCTTTCAGTCTCATATTTCAACCACTTTATGAGCCAGAGAAAAGTTTCTCTTGGTGCTTCTTGACTGCTGGATCTTGCATAGCTCCGAAGAATACTAGCGACAACTTGGTCCTGCTCTTGATTTAGCTCAGTGTCTGCGATGGATAGCAGTTGATCTTGCACATTCCATCATTTAGGAGCGGGTTTTGGCACTGGATCGCTCCACATGGGCTGTAGGATCTGCACTAGATTCAAGGGCTGTTGGATGTGTCGTTGTTTGGCTGTCTGGAGCAGTCTGTTTCACTTCGTTGTCCCCTCACACTCGTGATCAGATTGCTGGCAGCTGCTCCAGGACTTCTGCATCTCTGCCTGTTATTCA